ATGGTGTCGGCTGAACCAGTACAGAACGATAAGAATTTTACTGATTCCTTTATTTAACGGTCATCAACAAGTTTGGACATGGTTTTTGATTACAAGTAAAAAAAAGTTAAGTTCAAATGAAGAAAATGCTGCACTAAAGTAAAAGTATTTATAGGTTTCACTTGGTATAGACTACTATTTAAATTTTGTTTTACCATCTTGTTAAACCCTACCAACATCATCCAAAGGTTTTCTTCCAGGCCTGGCACACTTTGCATGTGATTCCGCTATGGGCCCGAGAGAAGATTGTGCCCCTATTCACATACCTTGTAGGGGAATCTTCATCTTCCATGGGTCACCAACAAACCTAAAACCTGTCGCCAACAATGGCCCAGGGCTCTGTTTTTTTTCACCTTGTAAGCTAAAACAGTGACTTTTGTCAAATCTTGGTCTTGAGGGCCATGTCGAACTGGCAAAAATACTGTTTTGGATGCGTTGCACCAATTCGTTTTGGGTGCAAGGTACAATTTCAGTGTTGCAACTGTACACAATTCATTTGAGTGTAGCAGCAATTCGTTGTGTAGGGATTTCAAACTTTCTTCAAATAGATCTTGTGTAATGGAGCCTCGTGTGTTTAAGCACCAGTTAAACATTTCTCTAATAGTTGAACATTTCTGTTGTGGTTTCTGATGATGTCATAATGGCTATTTTACAATTTCACGCTGAGCAAGAGAGGCGATGTTTTGTTATGAGAAGTAACAATCTGAGCCGTAAGTGTTGGCAGCTCGAGTAGCTGGCAACTTGGCAACATCCGTCTCCAAGTGGCTTCAGTTCAACATCGGCTCTCCAACAACAAACATTCGGGGGCTATGAACTAATCCCACTTTGCCCCCGCAAAAGCCTCTACGGACGAGTCCATTAGGTTCTAATTTAGGTTTTCGAGATTTCTCACCTTACGGCTTTCTTGAAATCGGCTGGTGAAGCCCCAGTTACCGGTACTTGATTGAGAAAGTGGATTTAACGTTTCTGAAAAACATTTTATATTAAAACCTAAGAAATATTGAATGGATCCATTGTTATTTACTGTATAAAAGTAGAACTAATTTATAATTGTGTAGCGTTTAGGTACTTGAATAGTCTTAACTTTGGTGCAAGAGTGATAATTCTCAATAAAAAAAATAAAAAAAAATATTTTCTACGGTTTTCTAAATGACTGCTTTCCTAAAAAGTGTTTGAGATTCTTTTATACCTCTGCTTGGATTGAAATAGTGAAAATGAAGAATTTGAGCTATTTGAATTATGTTAATTTTGATGTCCTCTATCACTTACTTTTAACATTTCAATGGTGATTAGGAAATATATAAGATAAAATTAGATATTTTTACATTATCCAGACATCTTTACTGAAAATTTAACACAATTTGCATGCTATTTCTCAGTTAACAACTAAGTTCTCTCTTCATGATGCAAAATAATATTACAGTATTTAACTTACATGTGATGTGCTATGGGCCTGAGAGATGATTGTGTAGTGCCCCTCATCTCCACATACCTTGTAGGGAAATGTTTCTCTTCCTAGCTGCCCTCTCGCGCCCCTGGGCATGGACCCACTTCTCAGCGGCCATAAATGCAACTATAGTTTTAAATTTGTCATAAAACGTTTTGCTCTTTAAACATATTAACTTTTAGCTGAGATTTTATGTTTCCATCCATGCATGAAGTCATAAAATGATTGCTAAAATGGCATTATTATGTTAACAAGTAAACAAACTAAATTGATTAAATTAATACTTACTGAAATATATAGTACTAGATTGTACGATCATTCTTTAAAAGAAAAGAGAGAATGTAGCAGAAAGGTTAACGATGATTGTCCGCAACAAAGAAACCCGGGCTCTTCCTGTCTCCTAAGTACAAACCATCCTGCAAATCGGTACACGAGGCTAAATTGTACTTCTTATTTCTCTGTCCCTGTTTTGTGTCGTGTAAATAAACAACATTTAATTTAAACTAAAATTATTGATTTTAAGTACATAATCAAACATTTCTACAGCTTATGATTTACACTGCTATTATTATTACTTTTATTAACTTTAACTTTTTTTTATTAATGTTTTAGTAGGTTTATGATTCTCAATGTTACTATATGTCTTGAATTTTTACTAATTTTTAAGATTTAATAACTACAGGTATCATCTTTTTTGACAGGGTAAAATATTTAAGTTTTTTTACTAATTTGCAGAAATGCGTCAGGAAAATACAGCATTAGCTTCTATATGTTTGATAGACAATAGTTTCTTCTGAACATAGATAAACATTTCTGGAACGACAAAAATACTATGTGTTTACTACAGGGCAGGTTGGAGGTTTTGGGTTTGTTGAGGATGCAAGTGAGTGAAAAATTTTCTGCGAGGTGGAGAGTGGCACAATTATCACTCAGGCCCATAGAGTGACCACTTTAGAATTGACTACTATTTTTTCCTGAGAAGATTGTGTGACAAAAATTTCTCCAGATACCACTTGCTAGTTAATTTATTTCTTACTTCCCATTACTTTCTGCTATAACTTATGTTCTCACTCCCTTCACTCTTAGCTCACTAGTTAACTAATTTGCCTCTACTACCTTATTTATTCACTTAATTCATTTATTTTCCACTAGGTCACTTGTTCACTTCTCTATAATAGCTCTCTACTCTTATTTATCTTTCTATAGACATACCACGAACAAAACAACCTGCGCAGAAACGAAAAGATCACGTGGTTCGCGCCGGTAGGTGTGGCTTACCCTTCAAACCTGCGCGGCGCGAAACGGCCCAGGGTTCTTTTGTTTCTGGTATTACTATACCAACTCATTTGTTACCTTACCTAGGTCTGCTAGCTCACTCTTATGTTCACTTATCACTGTTAGTTTACTTGTTCACTCACTTTGCTATACTAGCTCATTTGTTCTCTGAGCTAACTTATCTACCTTTAGTCTTTCTACCTATCTTATCTACCCATCTAGTCTCTTTTCTCTGTTAGCTCACTTGTTTAGTTCCTTTCCTCTGCTAGATCACTTCTTCACTAATTTCACTCTATCAATAGTTCATTCGTTCACTCAATTCTCTCTGCTACCTCATTTGTTCTCCACTATCCTACACTAGCTAGTTTATTGTTCTCTTATCAACCTTTACTAGTTCACTTGTTTACTGCTCACTTATCTCTGTTAACTCTAATACATGTTCACTCTAATATCTAATTTTTTCACTTAATTCACTCACTTACCTCTGCTTAATCACTTGTTAACTCCCTTCCCTCTGATAGCTCAATTGCTCACTCATTTCTCTGCACTGTCTCAATTGTTCACTTACTTCCCTGTGCTAGATCACTATTTCACTGTTTGCTTCCCTGTGCTAGATCACTATTTCACTGTTTGCTTTCCTGTGCTAGATCAATTGCTTACTCACTTCTCTGCATTGTCTCAATTGTTCACTTACTACCCTGTGCTATATCACTATTTCACTGCTTACTTCCCTGTGCTAGATCAAGTGCTCACTCCTATCTCTATTTCTCCGGTTCACAAACTTCCTTCTGCTCACTCCTCCTCTGATGTCTTCCCTGAGCTACCTCAATTGTTCACTCACTTCCCTGCGTGAGTGACAACTGGGAGTGCTCTTCATCTCCCAGTCAAGGTCGCATGCAGATCAGCTCAGCTTGCGACTCCCTGTGCTAAATATAACAGCAGTGCAACGACCTCCAATAACTTCGCAATCATCTCCCGTTTTCTTACAAACTTGTTTTATAATTGTTCATCGACGGTTTGACGCATTAGATCGACTGGGTGCTAGAGTAACAGTACAGCAGAATGATTTGAAATTATAGGTGAAGCTATTTTGGAAATTAATATTGTTTAGTGAAGTAACTGTTCATAGAAGAAGTGGAATAAACTATAGTTGTGGTTAGGAGTTAATTCAATAAACTGTTTCAGATAGCATTCAAAGAAAATAATACTCCTGTTGTAGAACCAGTTTTTGTAGTTTTTTTTAACTATCACTAAATGGTGAATCCAATGGCAAATGGTGATTTTGTTCAGAAACAACTTTTCCACGGGATCCAACTGCCAATCTAGGAATTGAAGGCCAGAACTTTTTAACCTTAATGAAGAGTTAAGTTTGGTTGTTGAAGATGACTGTTAGTTATATTAAATATTTTGATCATCACAGACACAAAACAATGATGCAGACCACTAAAATTATGTTATAAAAAACTAAAAAGAATGTTATAAATTGAAACCCCGCCCTATTTTGATTGTTTGTACGTAAGAGTAAAATATTTAAATTGGTTAAAGCAAAGATTACATATGCTGCATATGTAATCTTTGGTTAAAGATACCAATATCATCCAAATTCCAATTTTTTTCTTTGCTGGACAATTCTAGTGTCCATATAGTAAGCCGAAGCACAATAGTTGACTAGGTACAGATAATAATGGATAATGAATCACACATGACTGTTGTGATGTTAAGTTAACATAATAGTAAATCCTGCCATCTAGTGCAACATGGTCTTACCTAAAATGAAAGAATTATTTTTATTCGTTAGTTTCAGGGGATAAATAGATAACAATTATTTTATGTTCTCTGATGAAAATTCAGTTGTTTATTAGAAAACGCATCAGGGATGTATAAATCATGAAGCGGCTTTAATTTTTAACACCGGTATACTGACTGAAGCATTAAAAGTTGTATTGGCATGAAGTCCAATTAAGAATCAACAATGGTTGAGACCATAGCCACAAGTATTGTTTATGGGTTTCTAGATTGTTTATTCCTATTCTATTTGGGGAGCTGTACGGTTGTGCTAGCTAACTCATGAATTTTTTTTTTTGTCAGTTGAAAATATTTTACGTTCTTTATTAATACCCCCTTAACCTCCAGGTGGCTTTCGAATATGTTAAACATTTTTACAAAATATGTTGTAGTATTTACAAAATTTTGTAACTAAATTTCTAAGATTTTAATGGATGTTTTTTTTTTGTTTCAGAGCGAGAAACAGACATGGGAAGTGAGCATTACTGCCTCAGGTGGAATAATCATCAGAACAATCTACTCGGAGTGTTTAGTCAGTTGTTGCAAGACGAGAGTTTGGTGGACGTGACTCTAGCCTGCGCCGAGGGACACTCGATTCGAGCACACAAAGTAGTCCTCTCCGCCTGCTCCTCCTACTTCCAGTCGCTGTTTGTCGACCACCCTGGTCGCCACCCGATCGTCATCCTCAAGGACGTCTGCTTCTCAGAACTAAGGACATTAGTTGAGTTCATGTACAGAGGAGAAGTCAACGTCGAGTACTGTCGACTCTCTGCCTTGCTCAAAACTGCGGAAAGCCTTAAAGTGAAAGGTCTAGCGGAAATGACTCACTTGCGAGGTGCCGGCGCAGCTCCACCGAGGCAGGATGACTCAGAGCCCCCGCGTGCCCCTGAGCAGCCCCCCGCCTCCATCACTCCCCGGCCAGACACACCCCCTACAACTAACCCTACCACACCCCCTGATGCAGCAGACCACGATGCCCGCAGCCGCAGCCCTGAGGCTGAAGACGACTTGTCCTCTGGTCCCAGTGATATGACCATCAGCCGACTGCCCTCGCCACACACCACCGAGCCTCAACCCGGCCCCTCGGGACTGCCCCCCGTCCAGCAAGTACCATTGGTGAGTAGCCTATATCATTTGCGTAAGACTTGCTGCAGGTTGAGTAAGGTGAGGATTGGATGGATAGATTTTAAAATAATACTCAACGAAGTTCAGCTGAACATGTTGAAGCAAGGCAAGATATGAAAGCCACCAATCTCTACCACAAACATGAGTTGCACACCAGAACTGACTGAGATGGATTCAAACACTCAGTCTACAATACTGCCTGGTGGGTGAAGAGAACACCAGTCAGTAAAACCACTTGCTTTGTCATTGACACTAACTGTCTATATTGACAGCATGGTCAACTCAAGGTTCAAGCATAGTAGATGTTAACTTGATTCCATCTCAGGTACATACATATGCCAGGCATAGCTTTGAGCCAAGTTTATTGAGCTTTACAGTTGTACAGGTTACACAAATATTTCATCTGGTTTTATTCAGTTAACCATGTTGATTTGCTTTGCTATTTATTAACAATGTAAAGTTTCAAAGTGGTCAATGGTGTTTGTAGTTTAACAAATTCCAATATAGCTACTCTTTATCACGAAGTCAACATTGTTCCCATGCTTTCACATACTGCCACTACCTACAACAATTAAAGTGTTGGTTTTGGGTTATGTTTTGATTTAAGCTAATTCAACACCAACTCATGAATAAATTTTATTTCATCTCTGATTTGGCATTAAACGATTGCAATACCATTTTCAAAGAAGATAGGGGACAAACTATTTTGTAGTAGAGTCAAAACATTTTAGCTTGACTAGGTTCATATTGGCTGACAACAATAGCAACCTCATAATGATAATTAAGATTAGATAAAATTATTAAGAGGGAGATAAAACAGTGTTATCAGCTGTAGCTCAGCCTTCAACTCTATATACACATTAACACACACACATACACACAAACACACTGACATAGCAAGGTCGTATTCGAAGTTTTTATTTACAATCAACATTTAAAATACCCTTGCCACAGCAAACCTGCTCACTAAGCGAATTTCCCTTTGGCTGAATTGATTTCCAATTAAATGTATTTAATTAACACGAGGTGTTAGCCCGTCCTACGTACGGGAGTTGTCAGTTAAAACTGTGTATATTCAGAACAGCTAGCTTACACATATAAAGACGAATTTTATTGCAGTGTACAGTAGAAAGAGTAATTATCAATTGAGAAGTGTATAGGCCTAGTCAACGATATCACCTTCCAATTCCATCGCATACCTGATTCTTCCATAATCAATATCACCACAATACAATTACTCATACTATACACAATTTCCAGTAGATCTAAATAGGAACTCCCTAAAATAAAACTAAAACATCCAATAAAATTCACAGTACACATAATTATAACGTTGGTGTTCTGACATCATTAAAGGAATCGTCCAAACATATCCTTTAATATCAATTTCACTATCAATTGCTAAAATAAATAAGTGTAAACAAAGAAAAGTAAAAACAACAACGTATAGTTTGTTTTGTAAACAGCTGAGTCAAAAATAATAGTTATTTGTGTAACTAGTGGTGAAAGTGGCACTTTGCTGCACACGAAAGCAATGTTTAGGAATGATCTCGAGTGCAGCAAAGGCCTTTTTCACTCGTGTTACACATTATATTTTTCCTACAGTCACTATAAAGCATGTAAATAATTAGTCTTTCAAACACTATACAACACGTTTTTAGGTTCAGCTGGCAACACAAATGGTGCCATAAAGAAAGTAGTACCCGCGGTCCGTATCACTCCGCTATTTTTCCTCGGCAAGAAATGTGCTCCGCGTTTTGAGAATATAGTTCCGTATTTTTTTGTAATTTGAAGTGGTTTCCGCGCCTAAAAAAATGCTTTAAAGGTATTTTCTTGTTTATTAAGATCGTAGGAATGTTTTAAAAACGTTTAAAGGAAATGTCCAGAAAGTTCAGAATTACCGAAGCTATAAACAGAAATGACAGGTTAAATCATAGTTATAATAGTCAATCAGCTGTGTATAGTATTATTATCTTTAAGTGTTGCCAACCTATTTCCAAGCGTACAAGGATTACGTGCATAATAGAACCACGCTATTTTGTGTTGTTTCGTTGGAATCCTGATGTGCGGCAAAGTATAAACCGTACGACAAAGTATAAACCGTACCGCAAAGTATAAATATGCAGCAATTAGCAGCTTTCTGTACTATAAACAGTACAAGGAAGCCAACTTTGTCGGGTGACTGTAGGAAAAATAATATTCATTTGGAAAAAAAGAACTGGTCACATGTTGAAGGAATTTAAAACGTAAACATGCTAGTAAAGCTAGTGACGTAATTAATTGTCTATATAAAATATTCAGCGCCTCCAAACGTAAACACAACTAAACACAATATCATACTCCCCCCTTTAGATTTCATAAAAGGATGGTTAGTCTAATTACAGTATCCTAAGTCAATGATGACGTTGTGTTCAATCTATGTCATTCATCTGTATATCTTTGGATAAAACCCGTCTGAGGTTGTGGTGGTAATTTAAAATCGTATTCCTGAGGATTCTCTACCTCCTTCTTTATGACATCAATATTTTCGAGCCTAATCCAAACAAAGTTTAAGCATTCAAAAACATCGATTGTAAACAAAAAGCCACCAAGATGAATTAAAACATGTAAAAATTGTGATTTTCCTACCCTTTCCTAAAAAGGTTGAGCAGTAAAATAATTTGCATATCCTTTTTTTTAAGACTCGTGTACAGAGCCTCGACTTGTATACATCGATGGTGTTACTTATCTCGGTGGTCTACTTATCTTACTTATTTCCTATAATCAATAACAAAATCAGAGTAAATAAAATAACCTCATCATAGTTCTAAGCATATGTAATCTTTGGTTCTATAGAGCATTTTTATATATAACCAGCTGTTAGTTAAAATAAATTATATTTCACTAAAACAAACCGAAGATTACAAAGATTACTTGACTTAAAAGAATAACTTGAACATCCTAGTATTTTACTATGCATATTTAAATAATCTGTCATCCTCTTATCGAAATATTGAACGTATCAATGATTAGCATTACACATAGTATAAATAAGTCAACCCTTAGTATGTCTTTTAATCTTATCCAAATGCTGAATTTGTGTTACAAATGCTGAATGTTTACAGCTGTTATGTTAATCAAATTATATTACACCAAAAGCTAGTTTAGAATCTTAGCGTCGGCTGCTAGACTTTTCAAAAATTAAAACTTAATTTCTAAATAACTTGGACCCTAAACTAAAATTATGGCTTCGACATTCCCTAGTTCTCAAAATTATCTTTCTTTCAACACAAAAATCATGAAAATCCGTCAAGTGGTTGATTCAGAATCGTGAAATAAAAAAACACGGTTTCGTTTTAATATATAGGATTAGGTATTAGGAGTACCTAGGCTTGCTGCTACAGGGAGGTTAAAAAAGTGTGTTTTTTAGTAAATTATCAATAACTTAGTATAAAATAAATAAATTTACCAAGTTTGATCAAAATACATCCATAAACAAGCAAACTACAACATTTTACATTATTCTCAATAAGAATAACATGGAAATTTTAAAATAATAGTTTTTTTTTTCTCCGTATCCAATAATTGTACAAAAACACTTTTATATACTAAATTATTTGTTTTTTTAAGCCCTTTAAAAAGGTTTGGAGAGAAATTAAGAAAGTTTGTGTTTAGAGGGTCAAAAATGAGAAAAACCAATTTTTTATCCCATTAAACCCCCCGTAAAACCCTGTTCCCATGGTCCGACCATGCTGGTTCACGAACTCATTCAAGTCTATCCCCCCTTACACCTTTAAACCAAATTTCATCGAAATCGGACAAAAATTACTCAAGTTATCGTGTTCACAGACACACACAAATATATATACAGTATATAAAAATTTGAGCGAGTGGTGTTTTTGGCCTCCGGGGACATCAAAATGAAAAAGTAAATTGGTCCCGGGCCTAGGTCTTACTATTCCATACCTATGGTAATAGCTACTTCCCTATGGGGAAATTCGCTAAAAATCAAATTAATTAATTCCTAAGCAATTCTAATGTAAACATTATTATTCACATCATTTTACTAGATCTGATCTAGATAATCATTGTATTTTTACAGTATTCCCAGTACAGTACAGTAGAATGAGTAATGTCAAGGCTACACAGGCATTTCACCTATTCCGCACTAATAAAACTCTCTCTTCCGCACTCTTTGGTTAATCCATGTATCCTCGAGGACAGAGGAAACGTTTTTAAAACACCCTTGTAGTTTTGTCTATGTTTAATTTCAATATTGTAATCAACTAATAGGTACTGTAATACTCCATTCACAAAATTTAGGCGGTTTGAGGGGAAGAAATCTATCCCCGCCTCGTCTTGATCCTACCATTAAAACATACCGGTAGCTCAACAGCTGGGATTTGTCTAAATGTCATTTAGCCACAACATGCATTAGGCAGAAAAAAGTGGTGGGGGAACTTCCCCTCAAACCGCTTAAATATTTTGAACGGAGTATAGTAAAAATATTCAAAGCCTGTAGACACCTTTAATCCTTATCTTTCTGAAGCACTTTTTCGTTGAAGAGTCAGGAGGGGGAAGGAAAACTCAAAATTCAAGGTGCAAGGAGCTGCCTAAGCGATAGTGTTCACATAATAATCAGAAGGTTGCCAATTTGGTTCTAAGAAAAGTCGGTACCAGTACAGTATGTCTATTTGATATACTGACCCCAGATGTCCTTGATAATTGGGCTTTTCATAATACCAATCTTGGCTAAAGAACCGCTGATCTTAGTCAAGCTTCGCAGATCATCTAACTCCATTTTATATTCACCTCACATTCATATTCACCTTAAAATATGCATCTAAAAGGTATGCTGCCTCAAAAGAAATGTCAATGATAATGAAAAAAATGTCAGCCAGATTAATGAAAAATAGTTTGAATAATTTGAACATAGCAAACATATTATGTCCTAGTATATACCAATGCTATTGGTAGTACCGGCTTCATAGTTCAACATTGATGTCAATAAA